TTTGAGTTTTAAAATTTTGAATTATATTTTGAAATGTTTTGGATTTATTTTTTTTAAATATTTAAAAACATTTAAGAAAAATTTAGTTTAATTTTTTTTTATAAATTTAAATATTTTATTTTATTTTTTAAAATATTTTAAACTCAAAACACAACTTTATACTCAAGGGGTTGCTTGAGATAATCTAAATAAATACACTTTTTGACTTTTTATGAAATATGGATTGGGTATGAGTTGAGTTTAAAGTGATGTAATAGAGAGGTGATGTGACTTAATAAGATGATGTCACTTAAATAGGATAGTAACTTTTTGACTTTTTTAGATTACGACAAACAAGGCCCAAATCATAACCAAACACATAACTCAAAACTCAATTTAAAAATTCTTTTCAAAACTCATAACCAAAATTTTTTCGAAAAATATTTTTTATTTTGTTCTTTAAAATTATTTTTTATTTTACATTTTTTTGAAATATTTTTTATTTTATTTTTTTTGAAAAATAATTTTCAATCGTCACCTGTAATTTGGAAGAAAAAAAAATTATATTTGTTTTTGATATTTTTTAAATATACAAATTATTTTGTTAGACCAAAATGACAAATTATTTTTTTGAATTGAATTTTAAAAAGAGTTTAGTTATAAGTTTTGAATCGAATTTTCAATAGAGTTTTGAGTTGTGTGTTTGATTATAAGTTATAAATTTTTGAATTAAGTTTTGAAAACTCTTTTCAAAATTCATAATTAAACAATTTTTGTCATTAAAATACAACTCAAAACTCTTTAAAATTCAACTCAAAACTCATAACTCAAAATACAATTCCACACTCAAATTATGATTCTAAAAATAATTTTAAAAAACAAAATAAAAAAATAATTTTTTGAATTTTTTGAAAAAAAATAGAGTTTTGAAAAAATTTTAGTTATAAGTTTTGAAAAGAGTTTTAAATTGAGTTTTGAGTTGTATGCTTAGTTATGAATTTTGAAAATAGTTTTTGACTTGAGTTTTGAATTGTGTGTTTGATTATGAGTTTTAAAAAGAGTTTTGAATTTTTTTTATTAGAATTACAATTTGAAAAGAAAACCAAACGGACCTTGATTTTTTGAAAATTTTATTTTTTAGATCTTACTACACTAGAAACACCCAAAAAATATTTTTTACACCCAAAAAATATAAAACAATTTTTTTTTTTAAAAAAAGTAAATGTAAGGGGAAAAAAAAGAAAAGGAAAAAAAAAGGGACTTTTTTATACTTGTCCCAAACTCACCTTTAAATAGTTTCCATCCCTTGCACCCTTAAAATTGTTGGCGAAGCATAGACAAATTTCAAAAAATTACTATATGTTTTTAAGGGTTATTATTATTATTATTGTTATTATTACAAAGGTAGCATTAATATGTTACTATAATTAAATTACAATTTACAATTGAAATGGTTCGTGGTTATTTCATCAGCTCGAATCTTTGACCTCCTTCTTACCACACTTGATAGTTCGTCGTCGTTCCATTGGGCCAATCCCCGTTGTCTGTTTTTTAGGTTATTTTAGTCTATAATATTTCAAAGGATAAATTATATTGTTAAGACTTGCAAAAAAAATATAATAAGTCTTATAAGTTTGATATAATTATATTAACTTCTTTTAATAAGGTTAGAGCAGATACAACTAATGGAAATGGTGTGTAATCATATGAATTATCAATAATAAAATGTATATTAGTGTAAAAAATATGATAATATCATTTTCTCATTTATACAATTAATATATTATGGATGACAAAGAGGTTATGTTACGTGAATTAAAATCATAAAAGAACATAATTATGTTAAATTTGTGAGCTTTGCTATAATTTATCCCATTTAAATGTGTCAATTTCATCTTTCAAATATAAATGTTTAATTTTAACTGGTCTTTTGGTTTGACACCATACCTTTATTTGGGGATATAAGGCGGAATATAGTATGGTGGCATATAATATTCCTCCAAAAAGGGAGTTATGCAATACCACCCCATAATATTATTATCATCCACTATTAGATATAGAATTAGCCTTCATTTTACGGTAAAATATAATTACTTACTTCTCATCTCATGCTACATCCTATAAGTTATTTATATCTATATTATCATATAAACAAAAACGTACGTTTGTTTAATATACACAATTCAACTAGTTTGTTTAATAGTTCCTTTGTGCTTGAAGTATTTCTATTTCTTGTGAAATATATAGAATTCCTCTGTAAATTAACAAGAAGTATTTATATATTTTTTAGGATCCAAGAAAGATATCAACAACCATAATAAATGAAAGAAATTTCTCTATATATTATCGAAATTGAAGAAATAAGGGTAAATTGAAACCCTAATAGAGATTTGGGGGTTATATATGGGGTTAGGGGTGAACGATATCAATTTCGGATACATTTGGCACAAAAAATTAAGTTCTCCGTATAAAATTAAGTTCTCCGTTAGTTCAATATACAGAGATGGACAGAGGATGTAGATTGTAACACAAAATGAACTTGGAAAATTTAAAATGATGAAATTGAAACCCTAAGATTTAATTTGAAAAACTTGCGAAATCGTAAGGGTTTTTTTTTTGTAATTTGCCCTGAATTATATATATTATTTTAATAAATTATGTATAATTCACACTTCAAATAACAATTTTTATATATTTTTAAAGTGAGTAATGTTATGCAATGACATTTAACATAAAGTTTTGATAACCATGTAATACATGACACTAAAACTACATCATAGATTCAAATATGGTCATCATAATATTACTAATTTTTTTTTTGATTTTTAAATATTTCAAATTTTAAATTAAATAACAAATTAGGTGTATGTGTAGATGTGTCAACGGTTTTATGGTAAATATATTTCTTAATTTTAAAAAACAAAAAGCAATTTGATAATATATATATATATATATATAATTTGAATGTAAAAAAAAATTGCACAATAAATTTTGAAAACTAACGTTGATGATCATGATTAATATGTATTATATGGTTCACGTTTACCATTATAGTAATAAAACTAAATTGGGTGAAGTAATTTTCATTGTTGTTAAAATTTTGATTTATTTCTATAACAATGCCATAGAAGAATCATTTGTTTAGATTTAAAAGGTAATAATTTAAAATTTTGAAATATATTATCATAATAATTAAAAGGTCAATAATTAAATTAAAGTGAAATGACCAATGACTTTATGGCACATGTATTTTTATATTTTATTGATTCAAAAATCTAAAAAAATTGAACTGAGTGTTTTAGTTTATTGACCTCCGCACATTTGTTATGAATTTTTATGGTACATGTTAGGTATTTTTATAATAAATATCACATGTTTTTTTTTGGATAGAATTACAATAATAATTCATGACTTAAAAATAAAATTACCTATTACATATTTTATGATAATGTTACATATTATTTTTATTTAAAGATTTTTTAACTAAAAAATATAGTATTAACATTATTACAAAATAAGTAACATTATCATTAAAAATACATAATTTTATTTTTAAATAAGTAATATTATAAATACTAATTAGTATACCAACCGATACACCAACTAGATATAATATTATATTCGTTTGGGAACATGCTAATTTAGTAATTGTTTGGCTATTTAGTTAAAATGTGAGCTAAAAAAAACTAGTATGTTTGGAATGACTTTTTGTCTTTTTACGAAAAGATGTGTAAAAAGTAGAGAGAAAAGAGAATCTTTAACTTTTTGATATGATTTTTAACTTTTTAATTTTTTTAATAACTTTTTGACTAAAAAAGCTATGTTAGTCGGTACACTAAGTAGTGTATTTAACATTACTCTTTTCAAATTACAAATTATCATAATTTCATAAAAAAAAAAATTATAAAATACACATCCTTGAAAATGGTGTATCATATACACATAGTTATATTATTTCCTTTTTTAGTTATGATTTATTTTATTTCTTAGTTGTAACATTATCTTAGTTATATCTCATATTATATTTAGGTCTCGTTTGGCAAGTGTTTATTTTAGTTTAAATGTTAAAAAATTATTAAAAAAACCAAAAAATCTATAACCTATACCGAAAAATCAATGGCTTTGTTTGGCAGAGCTTTTGAAGTTTAATTCTGTCCGTTAGTTTGAATGTGTTATTTGGTTATAGCTTTAAAAAATTAATTTCACATCCACTTTTTAAAACACTCACTTTTCAATATTATGGCCAAGTTTGGGAAGACTAAATAAGTGTACTTTTTGACTTTTTTTGTATTATGTGTACAAAAATTAGAGAGGAGATGTTGATTGATGTGACCCAAAAAAGATAAAAAGATGAAATAAGTGCAATTTTTTAAGGTTAGCCAAACTTAGCCATATGTCATATCACTCAATTCAAACTCTTTTTAAAACTTATAACCAAACAAATTTTTCACACGTAAATCATAATTCCAAAACTCAAAAACTCAAAATACAACTCTATTATTAAATCATAATTCTAAAACTCCACCAACTATAACCAAAGATTCTTTTTTCTTTCTACTTTTTGCATATCTTTTCATAAAAAATAAAAAAATCATCCCAAACATACTAATTTTTTTACATCATATTTTAACTAAAAAATAAAAAATTACTAAAAAAGTCTATTCTCAAGGCTTCATTATGATATATTTTTATTAATAATGACTTAAAAAATATAAAATTATATTATTTTTTTAATTACTATTCTTATATTTTATAAAATAAAAAAACATAACTTGATAGACACATGTAACCGAGGGCGGCAAGTCGTTAAGGAGTAACCAAACAGGAAAATTGAGTTGCCCCGCGAACGAAACACCTACCTACTATTAAAATTGTCTGTTTTTTCCTTTTCATTTTCGCTTCGGTTGCGTCGCGTCGCGTCTCTGCAGAGGCATTAGATAGAGAGACAGAGGACAGAGCGGTACACAGTGGCGGATTGGAGGTTTCGTGGCCGCAACCGACCCGCGCCCACCCCTACTGCAGAGGCATTAGATAGAGAGACAGAGGACAGAGCGGTACACAGAGAGGGGAACGAACAACAAAGAAGAGATAGGTGGTGGAGGCTTTTGGTTTTTTTGTTTCAAAAATCTTAAAGAAAACCCAAAAAAAAAAAAAAAAGAAAAAAAAAGAAACAATTTCGTTTTCTCCTAAACCGACCCGTCATCTGATTTTGTTTATTATTTATTGTTTTTGGGTATGAAGTGAATCCCAGAATTTGACATGTATATTCATGCAATCTCTATATATGCGCCCTTTCAGACCTTTCCCTATCAAACCCATTTCCGCTTCTCTCTCTCTCTCTCTCTCTCTAAACCCCCCCTTTTTTCTCTCTACAACTACAATTCATCTACCATGGTAACGCCTTCGCAAACCCTTTCATGACTGTTTCATCTTTCAATCTCTCTTCTGGGTTTTAGTTTATATATAATTCTCTTTCTCTCTCTTTGTTGTTGAATAATTTTGAGGAATTTTTGATCACATATGGGCGATCTTCGAGTTTGTTCTCGACAGCCTAATGGCGTCGTGAATGAAGATCGCCCATTTGATCCCTCCTCAATTGGGGAGGATAATTGGGTCATAGCTGAACAAATTACCCAAGATGTGGTCTGTTTTATTCACCCAACTTTGGACTCTGAGGAGAAGAGGAAGGATGTCATTGAATACATTCAGAGACTCGTCAGATGTTCTCTTGGTTGCGAGGTGAAATTCAATGCATCTGTTCTACTTCTCTCTACATACAGATATATTCAATTTTGTATGCTTAAATACCTATCTGGGTTGTGCTCTTTTTTTTTTTAAACCAATTTTGTGTTGCCCATCTTTAGTTTCTCAATTTCCATATGTTCTTTTGGCAATCTGTTTCATTTCTGGAGGAGTTAGAAGTATTGTTGTAATGAAGCAATTTCATTTTCGAGTTGTTCAGGCATGGTTGTTTGACAGTTAGGAGGCTTGATTTCAGCTTTTGGGAGTGTTATGTATGTATAGAGTTTTGTTTTTGGGTCTGTTGTTGTAGTGGAGATTTGGTGACTCATTTCCATTTAATATTATTGCTTGACTTGACTTAGATTCTGGCAATCAGGGTTTTATTATTACTTTTGGTAGGACCAGTCATGCAGTGAAAGTCCTAACACCATGCCAAGAAAACACCCACACTTCTAAGAAGGTGGCGTGGTGTGTCCAACACTGTATTGGATATTGACACGACAGGACATGACATTATCCAATACTTCTCAACACTTACCGGACGGACACATGTTTAAACATGTCCTACTATTTAAAAAAAAAAAATTTAACTTGGACCCCATTTAAACACATATAAAACACATTATAAATTTGAATAAAGTAACTTGAATAAAAGAAACAATGTAAGTATATATCTATTTTCCTCCTGTAGAGTATAAAAATTATAGTAATAGTTTATCCGTGTGTATGTCATCATATAATAAATATTTAAAATTATATTTTTTGTGCATATTTTCCATGCGTCGTGTTTTACATTTTTTGAAAACTTCTATGTCAGCGTATCAGTGTCGTGTCACGTGTTTGTGTCTGTACTTCTTATATACCATGAATAACCACTTAGGAAGCATGATAAATTATATCTTAGAACATTTGAAGGCATTTGCGCAGGCACTGACATAAGTAACTAAGACTTGTTGCATCTGGCATTGCTTCTAGTAGTTTAATACAATCTGAGGGATTGAGTGATTGTGGATATCCTTTGAATTGTGGTACACCTCCATTGCATTCACAAAATTTGGCAACCCCATTTCTTTCCTTAGTTCTCAGTTTTTTCCTTCCTTTCTCCTTTTGCCAGCAGCATAACATGTTAGTGTCCTTGGATGTTTCCTTAAATGTAGGCCTCCAAAAATGAATAGGAAAACTAATTCATGTCAAAGATAATATATCACATAACACTTTTTTTTCCTCTTTTTTTTAAAAAAAATATTTATGATCTTTATTTAATGTGGACTACTCCATTTTTTCATATTCAACAAAGTACAGCATTGTATTCTAATATTAAATCGACATGTATGATAATCAGCTACCCCCATCAGACCATGATTCAAGGTGATTGGTGAACCACCTTACTTTTTTTATTCCACATAGTAATAAATATGCGTTCTCTGCCATGTTAGCCAGGGCTTCTTTATTTACTGCCTAATCTTTGTAATTTGGTTCTCTTGGGATTGTGAGTATCACTTCCACTGGTAAATAACATGCAGTTATGTGGGGTCCTATTTTCAAATGAAGACTTTTATGATGGGTTTAATTAAACATTTTGCTTTCTTTTTCATATTTTAAGTGTACCCCAGATGTTGGAAGGGTAAATTTTTTGGATATCTTAATATACATTCTCCAGATGGAATGTTGCTAATATATTGCTTAGTGTTGGTACTGTGAACGCCTATTTCTGAAATGTTTACCAGTTCTGAGCATTACTAAATAAAGACCTTTATTTTTAAAAAAAGGACTCCTAGACATGCTGTTGTTGATGAAGGTACTAGAAAACAGGGTGCTTCAAAGCTCTCCTTTGTTCATTTGACTTTGTTCACATGTTTGATAGTTTTATTTGATGGATTCAATCATACCTCTGTAGTTATGAAAATGAGATGCAAAATGTGTTTGTGCCTCTTTATTTTTTTAAAGAACACGTGCTGACACACATTTTTATATTTATAATTCAAATAGAAATTGAACTGTGTCATATAGAAGGGGAAATGATGTGTAAAAAGATCTTTTAATTGTTTGTCCATTTTTAACCTATTCGAGAGCTAATATCCATGCAGATTTCTAGTCAAAGTGATGCATTTAAGCTCTTACTTATGCAAATTTTTAAAAGGGGAAGGTAACTTGGAGTTGTTTTTTTAATGTCATGAGGAAAGAGACAAGTGGCCTATTATGAAATATGTTAGTTGTTTCAGATCCTTCCAATTTAGATTAATTTTTAAATTTTATTTTTTATTTTTTTAATGTTCATTGTTTTGTTAATTAGCTAGAAGGTTTAAGAAATGAATGTGGATGTTATTATTTGAAAGCTAATATCCATGCAGATTTCTAGTCAAAGTGATACATCCTATGCAAATTTTGAAAAGAAAAAGGTAACTTGGAGTCGTTTTTTTAATGTCATGAGGAAAGAGACAAGTGGCCTATTATGAAATATGTTAGTTATTTCAGATCCTTCCAATTTAGATTAATTTAAATATATATTTTTTTTAATGTTTATTATTTTGTTAATTAGCTAGTAGGTTTAAGAAATGAATGTGGATGCTATAATTTGGAGTTTGGTTTCCTACTTTCTGCCCTGCTTCAGATAAGTTTCATATAATCTTGTAAGTTCTTGTCTTAGATTCTCTCTCTCTCTCTCTCACCCTTTTTCTTTGTTCTTCTACTAGCTTTAACTTCTTTGTTAAATCTCTTAATATCGATTGGTTCATTGGGGTTCCTTTTGCTTCAATTAGGGCAGTTTCTTGAGCATTCTGCATCTGTTTACCTCTAATCTCCTATGCTCAATTTCCCAGACCTCAGCATTTGTTACTTCAACATGTTACTGATTATACTTTAAATGTAGATGATTTCTTGTTTATGTCCAGCTTTCTGAATTTGTCAGTTACTAATCTTCCTAAAATTTACAAATTGTGGTACATCATTAAAGTGGATAATTGTGAGGATGACCTATAGTTTATGAGATCAGGTGTCTTGTTATTAAGGCCAAAGGATCCTTCCATACTTAAAATTAAGATTCATATCTCTGAGTGTAAATTTGCTGACGCACTTGTGTTGTAAAATATCTTTACAGGAACAAGCCATGTTGGGAGGGGACTATAGCTTCATTTTATTGAAGTACCTATAAGCTGACCTTTACTGATTTGTTTACAATTTTGTAGGTTTTCCCGTATGGTTCTGTACCTCTAAAGACCTATCTTCCTGATGGAGATATTGATTTGACTGCCCTTAGCAGTCCTACTGCTGAGGAAACTTTTGCTCGTGATGTACTTGCTGTTCTGCAAGGAGAAGAGCAGAATGAAAATGCGGAGTACGAAGTGAAGGATACACAATTCATTGATGCTGAGGTTTTCTCCACTCTCATGGTTTACTAGGAAGTTTGTCTAAGATTAATATGTTTTCACTATACATGAAGGATTTGTACAGCATTTTCAAAATCTTCCCCAAATTGTGGTTATATTTCTAGTTGCCATGTCTTGGGCATATTTGAATATCTTGTATCAACTTCTAGATGACAAATCTTTCCTTTTCATGACAAAGTAGGATTTTTTTATTTGATTCTTACTTCTAGTGACTCACTGAAAGCTCATCACCATGTGTTTTCTTTTAGATTACAGGTTAGCAGCTTCCCTCTTTCTGGATTATTGGAATTGTGCTTTTTGGTGTAGACATACTATATAATTTCCATTTTCAGCAGGTTCATTAGTTTACTATGTTGTGCACGCTTGTTACTTGGTCTTTTTGTGAGGTGGTGGGGAACGAATCTCCATGCCTGCCCTAAACTCCCTAAACTCGTAGCAGATTTCTCCTATGACGAAGCTGCTTCAATTCTCTTCTAATCTGTTGAGTTTTTGTTTGATTTGCAATCTTTCACTTGAAAACTAGTTGTAGACAGAAATAAAGCGTTTAAGCCAGCTGCTAATGGCAGAAATCCAAAATTCAGCTGCACACATAGTGGAACCTCAGGATAGTAGACATATCCTCTTGGGGGTTGTTGACGACATGTTTATCTGGTTTTCTAAATTTCTTAAAATCATTTCTAAAGTTTCTATTTGCATGGAAGACATTAAACCTTTCTATAATCGTATAACTCTCTCAATTTATCAAAAAAATATATAAAAAAAAATAATCATATAATTCTCAAGTCTTTGTTGTTGTTGTTTTTTGTTTTTTTTTCTTGTTTTTGTCTTCAAGCTTTGAACTTCAGTATTTACAAGTATTTGTATCATTGATGGCAGGTTAAACTTGTGAAATGCCTGGTGCAGAATTTTGTAATAGATATCTCCTTCAGTCAGTTAGGAGGACTTTGTACACTCTGTTTTCTTGAGCAGGTAGGATCTAATACTTCCTGTTAGGATTGGAAATGTTGCTTTCTTTGCATACTCTAGGTTTTTAACTCCAGTTATACTGCACCAGAAATTATCTTATTTATTTTGTGCAAAATAAGTAATAAAGATAATTTTGTTTTTAATGTATTTTAACAAGTTTTTTTTTTTTTTTTTTTGGGTACAAGGGTATTTAAGAAGGTTGATATTGCTGTATTGAAAACCCTTCTTAGAATTTGAAGTAATGGCACCAAAAAAATAGAGTAATAAATTATTATTATTTTATTTAAAATTTTGTTTTCAGAAGTGGTGTGTTTTAAAATGACTTAGATTGATTTAAAACCTATCTAGTGTATGGGGTTGGTTTGTACTACATCTCTTTGCATTTTCCTGTTGTGCAGAAACAAGCGTAATTGATTTTAGTTTGCGTTTGTTTACTTCTTGCTGCCTTCTATATTTTACATCCCCTTCTTTATGGTTCCTACATTAAAATCTTGATACACAATGTTCACAACATTGTAGTTAATGTTTATTATTGGATTAGATAAATGCTTTAAAGTCTAGTCACCAAGTCATTCATCCTGAGCAAAAAGTTAACAGCTGACCATGTTTTGCTCTCTCTCTCTCTCTCTCTCTCTCATGCAGGTTGATCGCCTTGTTGGCAAAGATCATCTCTTCAAACGTAGCATTATTCTGATAAAGGCTTGGTGCTATTATGAAAGCCGTATTCTTGGTGCTCTCCATGGTCTAATTTCTACATATGCTTTGGAAACATTGGTCTTATATATTTTCCATCTCTTTCATGCATCATTAGATGGGCCTCTGGCGGTAACTGCTTGTGTCTGTGCAAACTGACTTTGTATTGGTAGACACAATGCACGACTGATTTGACTTATTATATTTCTTTGCATGCTCAGGTTCTTTACAGGTTTTTGGATTATTTTAGCAAATTCGATTGGGAAAACTACTGTATTAGTTTGAAAGGTCCTGTTAGCAAATCTTCCTTGCCTGATATCGTTGGTAAGCAAGATCCCTTTCTTTCCGGGAAGTTAGTATGCTCCATTATGAGGACATGCTGCTCCATATATATTTTTTTCTGTATGATTCTAATGCATCTGTGTGTGTGTGTGTGTGCAGCTGAGATGCCAGCAAATGTGGGGGACAATTTGATGCTTAGTGCAGAATTTCTTAGAAACTGTATGGACATGTTCTCAGTTCCGTCAAGGAATCTTGATACAAACTCACGAGCATTCCCCCAAAAGCATCTAAATATAATTGATCCACTGAAAGAAAATAACAACCTTGGGCGCAGCATCCACAAAGGTAAAGAACATTTGCTTGCTTTTACTTTGCTGTTGAATTGGGATGCTGACAGGTTGAGTCTATTAAGATAATGTGCACATGCACACAAAAAAAATGTCATTTTTTAAATGTGTATATGGGTTTGTGATTTATTTATTTCTGGATTCAAGGGAATTTAAATTAGTCATGGCAAATGACTGTTGAAAACCTAGTTCAGTGCTGTATTTTAGGTTATTATTTTTTTGCCACATCTTTAAATGACAAAAGTTTTTAAATTTAACTTGATTGTCTGGGATTGAGTTAGCTTATTCCCCTCCTCCCCAGCCACAAACACAGACAGGGACCCTTGAGAGAGAGTTTATTCTATGATTAGGTGGAAGGTTATTTTAGAATCATTTTGGTGTTCTTTGAGGATGAATAATAAATTTAAAAAAGAATAAAAAGGAAATAACAAAAAAAATAAAAAATCAAAGAAGTTGTTTCTCGATTTTGTTTTACGTAGGATCTAGGCATATAATGTAGAATATATAGTATTTTCTTAATGTCTATGAATCACCATAGTTATCACTGCCAGCAAGGATGCCACTGAACCAAATACACTATCATTACCACTGTGAACACTATCATTTGCTGTAAATACCACTCATCATTACCCCTACCACTACTCTTGCAGTCGTTTTGTGTGATAATTGTTCATCTTACTTTCTGCTATTCAAAAGGGGTAAAATAAACGAAGGCATTGTTTTTCTTGATTTGTGAAGTACTTCCAATAAACCTTGATCTTTTGGGATTGTGTCGTATCATGATAATATGGCACACATTGGTTCCTGTAGGTAATTTCTATCGAATACGTAGTGCTTTCAAATATGGTGCCCGCAAGCTTGGTCAAATCCTTTTGTTACCAAGAGAAAGAATTGCAGATGAGATCAAGAGATTCTTTGCGAACACTCTGGAGAGGCATGGACATAATTCTTGCAATTTGTTCTCGTCATCACATTCCAGAATGTTCTCTGATGAAAAGATTCAACTGAACTCATTGAATCTTGATTTGGACAATAACATTCCTGGGGTAGGAGATAATGAACTGGACAGATGCTTGATGAAAGACAATTCTCTTCAGATTGTGTCAAAATTGGCCCGTTCAATAGATGGGATTGCTGTTTCAGGATCTCACCTAGGGGGAGAAGCGCATTTGAGAATTGCATATGGCACATTTGATTGTTCTCCATCAAGTTGCGATTTGAGGTATTCTCTTTCTGGGTTATATTACCATCCACCCCATTTCTATTTCTCTGGATTACCTGTGGAAAATGGGAAGCTGGAAAATGGGATGTTAAATGAAGAAAATCTGACAAATGTTGATGATGATAAGATCAGTGTTGACTCCTGGATGGAACACAGAGAGAACCATTTGGGGGCTGGTAATAGAGTCTGTTCGTGTCATAATAATCATGATGGTGTGAGCTCTAGTGGTTCAGGAATGTCGAGTCCGAATGGCACTGTTTTGGAAGGTTTGGCCCTCGATTTTAGGGAAAGGGTTTTGGCTGATATTGCTGGAAGCCTAGAAACTCCGAATCCCTTGTCAGACCTTAGTGGGGATTACGACAGTCACATAAGGAGTTTGTTATATGGTCAGTGTTGTCAAGGGTATGCTTTATCTGCGCCGGTACTACCCAATCCTCCCACATTCCCTTCTCAGCTCCAAAACAAAAAGGCAGGGGATACTGTATGTGGATCCATGCCGCTCAAGTGGAATGAATGTTCTCAAATGAACGCAAATGGTGTGTCCTTGGGACCAACACAAAACCTCATGAAAAACAATCCCACACCATCGAATTCTTCTTTGTGTTTGGAAGAGAAGCATAAACCACGAGGAATTGGCACATACTTTATTGATTTGGTAATTGCTATGTCAAATTTCTTGCCATTTTTTAGTGTGTGTATATATATATATATATATGTCTGTGTATATATTGGGTAAATTACACTTTTAACTCCCACAGTTTGACCAAAATTGGTCTCTATTATTTCAAATTAAACAATTTGGTCCTTACACTTAAGCTTAGTTTCGACTTGATCGTTCAGTTCAAGTTGGATTTTAAAATTAATGATTTTAGGACACTGGTCTGTCTCCTGAGATATACACATAAAAAAAATTAACAGAAATTTGGATGAAAAGACCAAATTAAAACTAGACGTAGAAGTGTAGTTCAAATTGAAATAATAGGGACCAAAATTAAATTTGAGTCAAATTATAGATGTGGAAAGTGTAATTTACTCATTTTTTTAAATGAAATAACATAATATTGAGATGCATATTGGATTTATTTACTGCTGCAGATTGTTTTCAGTTATCTTACACAGGAAATTTGTAGAATGGTTGTTCATGCAGGGAGAAGTCCTCACAAGGGAGCAGAAGGAATCAAGTGCAAGAGAATTACCGTCAGTTCCAGAGACATGCTGGTAACAATGGCTTTGCTCCGGCGTTGCCCGAGAAGAAGTCATTTGACGAAGATAGCCATGAGGGCCCACGTGCACGGTCCCCGGTTTTACATCATGGGAAGTCTGAATTATCAGCAGCTATGGACGCTTGTGGCAGTTGGGGATCCAGTCCGAGCCTTGTGGCACTGGAATTGCAGAGTTCAAAATCAGCAGTATTGGGAAGTAAGCGAGAAAGGTAGGGGAATTTCTAGCATTGGAATATGTCAAGGTGAGTAGAGAACAGATTATTAGGATGTCGAAGTTCTCTTTTCTTACTCACTGGTTTTGTCTAAAGCTCGGTATGCGGTTTGGGTTTTCAGGGTTGGAGAAAAACAGCCATTCCATCTTAAGAATGAAGATGATTTCCCTCCTTTGACCATCCTATGAAAGAGCAGGCAAATAATATGTAGATGCTAACATATACACCAGTGCAAGATTTAGAGAGTAAACCATCTTGAACTTTCCTTCTTTCTTTCTTTTTTCCCTTGTTTTATTTTTATTTTTTTGTTGGGTCAAAAATTTTGGTGGTGGTACAAAAATGTTAAGGTTGTACATTCTTCTGCCTTATTCCGTCGCTCTTTTCATTCCCATTCACTGGCTTTTTGGTGACTGGGAATTGCATATCAGGTTGTGATCTTCTTGTAGATCTTGTAGTTGTCCTGAATGCTTCCAAACATGTTTCAGTTTTTCTTGTTTAAAATACAGTGTTGAAAAAGTTGATACAAAATTTTGAATAGTTTTAGTGTTGAAGATCGGATATATTTGTAGATAGTGGTGTGAAAGAAATGCATTGCTTTTATTACGAATTGTGAGTTGGTTGATCCGGATGGAACATAATTTACGGACTTACGGATGGAACATAATTTAGATGGACTTACGGATGGACTTACAGACTTACGGATGGAACATAATTGTGAGTTAGTTGATTACGGATGGAACATAATTTAATCAATTGAGATTAAGGTACATAATATTTTAGATGGACTTACGATAATTCCCACCACTTATATAATTAAAAAGGACCACATAATTAAATAAGACTTACCTGCATAAATCTAAATTATAACGTTATAAGTTTTAGTATCCAAAATTTAACATAAAAAATTTGCTATAAATTAAACTGAACCATTCGTAAGAATTCTTTATTTTGTTTTATTTTATTTTATTTTATTTTTTTGGCCTTTATAGATTTGGCCTCTTCTTCTTGGGGTAGCAAAGCGTGTTTTGAGGGGGAGAGAGAGAGAGAGAGTGAGTATGTGTTTTAAAATTTAAAATTTGAAAAAGTGAGGTGAGCGATAAAGGATGGATGGGTGGATGGGGGTGAAGAGTTTTTTATTTTTATTTTTTTTGGCTTGTTGTGGCTTTTGGGCACAAAGTGTCTTCTGTTGTCCATCACTGCCACCGTCACCGCCACCGCCACCACCACCGCCACCACCCACTCGCTACCATCCACCACCCGCCACTGTCACCCACCCACCTACCACCGTCACCTACCACCTGCTACCCACCACCCGCCGTCACCACTTTCCACCACCGTCTTTCGCCGCCACTTGCCATTTTTCACTCTTTTTTGTATTTTTAAAATTTTATAAACATTTTGTCAATTACTAAATGTGTTTGTAATTTATGTTTTTCTAAAAATAAACAAAAAATAAACAAAAACCAGTTTATAAAATTTTTGTAAATATAAACTAAAAACGTAAACGTTACCAAACACACCCTTAAGGTTTGTCTTTTCTTTTTGATTTTATCTTTTCATTTTGAATAATTTACTAACGGTGACCTATATGTTGGGTGAAGGTTTTTTCGTAATTATATAAACATTCTTGGTCAAATATGCAATAAGTTTTTTTCGTAATTACGTAAATATTCTTAGTCAATTATGAAACATGTTTTTTTGTAATTACACAAACATTTTTGATTAATTATGAAAAATAAATCTTTTAATTTTTAACAAATTACAAATACACCCATAAAATTTGTTTAAAATATGAATCAGTCCGATAATACTATAAATTACAACTATCGTTTGTTATAAATTTTAATTTAACACAATCCTAAGGGAAAAAAAATTATTTTCCTATGCAATAATAAATTATCAAAATTGTTTATTGAAAAATATTTCTTATATCATTAAAAACTATTAATTGACTTAATGATTTATTTATTAACAAAATGGTTACCTGAAAAATATTTTTCATATCATTAAAAATTGTTAATTTACTTAATGATTTACTTATTAATAAAATTGGTCATTTGCTATGCGAGTATTATTTTTGTATTAATAAAATTAGTCGTTTATACATATATGTATTTTCTTCTACTTCTTTATTAGTTCAGTGAATTATCTTAGTAATTTTTTTAGATGAGAGAATTATCTTAATATTTGTTTTGTATTTATTTGTTGAGAAAAGTTACATACCATAATTTTTTTATTAAAATATATTCGGAAGAGATGTTAAAAACTCATAAATTCACACAAAATGTTATGGCAATAGAATTGGAATCTACAATGATACATATCATATCACATAACTCTATAATATATCTAATAATTTATTCTATTCAATTTCTTATAACAATATTTTAATTTTTAATATTTAACCAGGCGGGTTGGTGGGCCTAACACATGGGCCGCCTTCGTCTAGCTAAATGGTTTCAACGGAAATTGCCGCCATCACCACCCACCCACTACCACCCGTCATCCGCCACCCACCTGCCATTACCACTCACCACCTGCCACCACCACCGCCACCACCCACTCGCTACCATCCACCACCCGCCACTGTCACCCACCCACCTACCACCGTCACCTACCACCTGCTACCCACCACCCGCCGTCACCACTTTCCACCACCGTCTTTCGCCGCCACTTGCCATTTTTCACTCTTTTTTGTATTTTTAAAATTTTATAAACATTTTGTCAATTACTAAATGTGTTTGTAATTTATGTTTTTCTAAAAATAAACAAAAAATAAACAAAAACCAGTTTATAAAATTTTTGTAAATATAAACTAAAAACGTAAACGTTACCAAACACACCCTTAAGGTTTGTCTTTTCTTTTTGATTTTATCTTTTCATTTTGAATAATTTACTAATGCTGACCTATATATTGGGTGAAGGTTTTTTCGTAATTACATAAACATTCTTGGTCAAATATGCAACAGATTTTTTCGTAATTATGTAAATATTCTTAGTCAATTATGAAACATGTTTTTTTGTAATTACGCAAACATTTTTGATCAATTATAAAAAATAAATCTTTTAATTTTTAACAAATTACAAATACACCCATAAAATTTGTTTAAAATATGAATCAGTCCGGTAATACTATAAATTACAACTATCGTTTGTTATAAATTTTAATTTAACACAATTCTCAGGGAAAAAAAATTATTCTCCTATGCAATAATAAATTATCAAAATTGTTTATTGAAAAATATTTCTCATATCATTAAAAACTATTAATTGACTTAATGATTTATTTATTAACAAAATAGTTACCTGAAAAATATTTTTCATATCATTAAAAATTGTTAATTTACTTATTAATAAAATTGGTCATTTGCTATGTGAGTATTATTTATGTATTAATAAAATTAGTCATTTGTACATATGTATTTTCTTCTACTTCTTTATTAGTTTAGTGAATTATCTTAGTAATTTTTTTAGATGGGAGAATTATCTTAATATTTTTTTTATATTTATTTGTTGAGAAAAGTTACATACCATAATTTTTTAAAAAAATATATTCGAAAGAAATGTTAAAAACTCATAAATTCACCCAAAATGTTATGGTAATAGAATTGGAATCTACAATGATACATATCATATCACATAACTCTATAATATATCTAATAATTTATTCTATTCAATTTCATATAACAATATTTTAATTTTTAATATTTAACCAGACGGGTTGGTGGGCCTAACACATGGGCCGCCTTCGTCTAGCTAAATGGTTTCAACGGAAATTGGCGCTAGTTAAACAGAGTTACTAAAAAAAAAAAATAAAAAAAAAAAAAAAAAGTATTCACTTTACAATCAGCTGTTCTCTCTGCAATTAGCTCTCTCTCTATTCAAACACCCTATCTCTAATATATATGTATATTTTTTCCAGCAATCAATAAAATTTCAGCTCTTGATTGATTATGTTAAACCCAGATTATATTAAGATAATTGACTATTTTGTTGATTGTTACTTAAATTTCTGTGAGTATCATGTTCAATTCCATAAAAATGGAAGATAATTCTTTAAATGTTTTGTTTTCACTTTTTTTTTATTACTTATATGTAATTTGTTGATCTTGTTTTTATAGTTCGTTATTGTCCCAACCTTTCGGTTCCTCATTCACCATTGAAGAAGAACTTTTAATTTACATCCTTCTCTATCACAACACGTTCTTGTTTGTTCCCCATTTTTCTATTGCTTTTGATAAATTCCAATTCCTCAAATCATAGAAAGGCAAGAATCCCAGTTATTTGCATATCATCTGTGAAATTATATACATATGCACTGATTATATTCACAATATATTTGCATGGGTGACTTTTTTTTTTATTGTTGATTGATTTTTTTTTTTCTTTTCAATTCTTCTTTAATATTGTGTTTCGTTCACATTTTACATATTTTTTTTTTCCTTTTTCTCCCCAACTCCTTACCTAAATTCGTGAGCCAATATGTGAGTTTGACTGATGATCCTTGATTGATTTTTCTTGTTACTTAAATTTCTGTGAATATCTTGTTCAATTTCATATATATGAAAGATAAACTTGGATCTGAATATAAACCCAATTCTTTAAATATTTTTGTTTTCATATTTTTGTACTTACATCTAGTTTTTTTTTATCTTCTTTAGTTCCTCAATCACCATTGAAAAAGAACTTTTAATCAGGGCTATTTTGAGAAGTGGGTTAAAAGTCACTTCATAGCTTTTAACCTACTTCCCTTTCTCACAAAAATGTCAAAAAAAAAAGTAAAAAATCAGTTTTTAACCATCTTCCCAAAACACCCCTCAACATCTATCTCTATCAAGGTACGATCTTGTTTTTTCCCTATTTTTCTATTGCTTTAAATAAATTCCAATTCCTCAAATCAGAGAAAGGCAAGAATCCCAGTTATTTGCATATTATCTCTGGAATTATATACATACACACTGATTATATTCGCATTATATTTGCATGGGTGACTGCTTTTTTTATTGTTGATTGATTTTTTTTTTCTTTCAATTCTTCTTTAATATTGTGTTGTGTTCATGTTTCGGCGCCCAGCAAGGTCTTGCTAACATAAAAGATAGGTAGGTGTTGGATTCCTTCCGCTCTGACCAACACTGCGCTGACTGCATGCTGTGAAACTGCTAGGTATAAAAAGAGTTCTTCTTCTGGCACTGGGGTTACTAGCAACAGAGGAGAAGTCATGTAGTCTTTTAAGCTTTCTAGGGCGCGGTCGCATTCCTCATCCCACTCAAATTTGGCCTTCAATGCTTGGAAGAATGGTCGATATCTGTCTAACGACCGACTTATGAACCGATTGAGCGCAACTGCTAGGCTAGTGAGATGCTGTACCTCCTTGACTGTGTTGGGCCTCTCCAGATCTTGGATTTCTTTGATTTGAGAGGGATCAGCTTCTATACCCCGGTTGGTCACCAGAAAGCCTAGGAATTTGCCTGATCCCACCCCGAATGCAAACTTAGATGCGTTTAGACGCAACTTGTGGGACTTCAAAATTTGGAACATTTCATCTAGGTTCCTGAGATGGTCCTTTTCATCTTTGCTTTTGACTACCATGTCATCTTTGTAAGACTCCATTGTTCTGCCTAACAATGGTTCAAACATTTTGGTGACCATCCGTTGGAATGTAGCCCCTGCGTTCTTTAGGCCAAAGGACATGACCTTGTAACAGTACAATCCTATAGGTGTTGTAAATGATGTGACCTCTTGGCCTGGTTTATGTATAGTGATCTGATGGTATCCTCGATACGCATCAAGGAAGCGAAGTTGATTATGTCCTGTCGTCAGGTCCACCAGTTGGTCTATCCGTGGTAGGGGAAAGATGTCCTTTGGGCATGCCTTGTTGACCATTTTGTAGTTCACGCAAACACGCCATTTTTCGCTCTTCTTTGGCACCACTATAGTGTTGGAGATCCACTTGGGATAGTGTACTTCTCTGATAGCTCCTGCCTTTAGCAGGTTTTCCACTTCTTCTGCCACTATCTTTGTGTGGTGGAGTGTCGACCGGCGAGTTCGCTGAATAATTGGTCTGGCAGTTGGGTGGACATTAAGTTGATGGCAGATGAAATTTGGGTTAATGCTAGGCATGTCGTATGGTGTCCAGGCAAACACTTCGATGTTAGAAGTCAAGAATTCCATGACCTCTATTCTCTCAGTGCTGGACAAAGATGAGCCGAGCAAAAAGAACTTTTCTGGGTTCTTTTCATCTATCCTTACCTCAACCAAGTCCTTCACCACCTTATGCTTTGCTGTTTTGCCTACGTCCGCAAACAGTTCATTGCTTTCTGGCTCTTCCACCATCTGTACATACCCTTTTGCAGCTCGACAGCCATTTACTGTGACGAAGCACTGTTTTGACATAATTTGGTCTCCCAAGATTTCTTCAATTACTCCGGCTTCGCTGGGGAACCGCAATGCTTGATGGTAGGTTGACGCTACTGAGCGCATCGCATGCAGCCATGTCCTTCCTAAGATGATGTTGTAGGTGGAAGGGACCTTCAATACCTAGAATTCCACCTGTTTTGTCACGGTTCCTGCTCTGACTGGGAGGATTATCTTGCCTACTGGCCATTCTAGCATTGAGTTGAAACCGACGAGAGGAGATGTCGTAGGTGCCAAGTCTTTGTCCTTCAATTTCGGTTGTTTGAAGGTTTCGTAGTACATTATCTCGCATGAGCTTCCTTGGTCGATCAAAATCTGCTTGATATCGAAATTCTTGACGCGCAAAGTCACCACCAGTGCGTCATTGTGAGGGCAATACAACCTTGCTAGATCTTTGTTTGAGAAGGATATGACATTTGTAGCCTCTGTTTTGCCCCTTTTGACGGTAGGTTGTGCGCTTAGTACCTCTCTTAAGTGCTCAGCCTTCTTGATCGTCCCCCTGAGTTCGCATACTCGTTCTGGTTCGAAAATCTCATGATCACATTGATTATGCCTTGAGGTGGACCGTCAGCCGGTATCCCGTTTGGTCTGTTGGGGTCCTGTGGGGCTGGTTGTGTTCCCCCTTCTATATACTGGTCCAGGTGTCCAGCAGCAACTAACTCTTCTAGATGTTGCCTCAGGGGCGTACAGTTTTCAGTTCGGTGCCCCTTCTCATCATGGAAGGTGCAGCGGGACCTCTCGTCGTAACCCTTTTGTGCTTCTCCCAGCTTGGCTGGCCACTGGACGTAGGGTTCATTGCGTATCTCGCTGATAATCCGGTATATAGGTTTATTGAACACGGTGGTGATGGCAATGCAGACCCTTAACTTACTTTTTTCTAGGTCCTCTCTGGTAGCTCGTCTGCCTCGCCCATCCCTACTTGGTTGTTCTACCGAATTAACTTTAGCGGTAGTCTTTTTATCTGGTATCGCTGTTGTGCCAGATTTTGTTTTAGCACGAGCGCTGTCTTTTTCTACTCGGATATGCTGGTGCACCCTTTCCATTAGGGCCTCCATCATGAGTGGTGGCATCATTGTTATTGAGTCCCTCAGTTTGTTGCCCACTGGTAGACTCCATTTGTATTGCGCAATGGTGAGGTTTGTAGGGCAATCCTTAATCTGGTTGGGAGCGGCTGTTGTAAGACCTCAATGTTTCCCTTTCGCCCATGTTAATGGAGAGTAGTTGATCGATCTCTACTGGTGTTTTGGTGTTCGTCCTGAATCTGGTCACGAACGCTTCTGCCAATTGTGCCCATGAGGCGATGCTGTCCTCGGGCAGCCTTTCAAACCAGGTTAGGCCTAGGTCACCAAGGCTGGATGGGAACAACATGCACATTAGAGCCTCGTTCCGCCGGTATACTGCCATAACCTGGCGAAAGTGGCTTAAGTGCATGTAGGGGTCTGACTTCCCTTCATAAATAGTGAACTTGGGCTGATGGAAGCCTGAAGGTAGTTGTGCGTTCTCGATTGCCGGAATGAACGATGAGCTCTGTAATCTTGCCAATACTTTGTTTGTTGGTTCGTAAGCCAGGCGTGGCATTGGCATCCCTACCTTGACACTCCCATGTGTCCTAGGGGCCAACCGATGTAGTGCTGAAATTTTGTGAGGGTCGCGGGCCTGGATTCCTCATTTCGTCGGGCCCTTTCTTCAAGTATTGTCCGTAAGTCCGCTGACCTAGGCAACTCCGTGTGCCTAGATGTCGTCTGGTGCGTATGGGAGGGGTGATAGGTGCTTCCCTCCGTATATGACCTTCAGTCCTCATTCTCTCAGACCTGGAGCGACGAGTCCTGGAAGTCCTTGATTGGGTGTCGCCTGTTCTAAGGCTCCTACTTACTGCTTGTGATGGCGTGGTATGTCAGTCACGATCCTCAGGGTGGTGAGGGGGCGTGTTACCTTTGCTCCCCTCTCCAGTCGCCATTCCATTCCCCTTTATTTGGCATTTCATTGTCTCCATGTTTGCCGCCATCTTCCTTATTAATTCGTCATGCTCCCTCATGCGATCCTCCAGAACTTGAGGATCTAACCTTCTTCTCTGTCTTTCAGGGCTTTGAGAACAACGGGGGCTAGTGCCCCGTTTCTCCCTCGTGTCCCTCCGAGAGTTTCGTCGCTGGGGTTCTAAATCTGTCATGGGAGGGATGGAAGGTAAACCTTCGCGCCTCCCACCCCCCTTCGGGGTTTGCCCATCAATGGCAGATTACGGCAAGTCTTCATTGTGTGTCATTGCTTCTAACTGGAGTGGTCAAAATAATTCTTTTCGTATGATCCTGTTGATCAAGTTTGCGCTCCTCCAAACGTCGTTACTTTACTTCCTAAAAACACAAACGTGAGCTAGCCAGCGGGTGTATACCGGAAACCCCTTCAATGCCTAAGTCAGCAAATAGAAAATAGACAAAAGCTCTGTGTATTTAGGAGTCAAAATTGTGATACCTGTACATAGGTCCTGTCATGAGCTTTTATAGACTTTGCTTGACACAATCCTAATAGGATTCCAACTCTCCTTATAAGCGTCCTCCTAGGAATCATTCTTCTGAAAGATAATGCTTATCTTTCAACACCCTCTTCCCTGCTTTAACCAAGTGAAATGGTTTTACTACAGTTATATGATAAATAAACCGAGCTATCCTATGCAGAAGCGGCAACTTTCACCGAGCTTTCCCTAGCTCGGTTCCACCTAGCTGTGCTTAGCTCGGTTTTTACTTTACTTTGCTTCGCTCAGTTCTACCTTGCCTTTACAACACGGCTCCCCCATACATTGGTTCAGAGTACTCAAATTGAGCTAACCGTAATGATTCAGGACTGTGCTAACAGGGCCCAATGGCGAAGCCCATTCTATTCAGCTCACAAATCGGCTCACTTCTGCCCAGTCCTAACTTGGCCCAAATTTACACATTTTACCCTCTCAACTAAACACAATTTTTTTTCTTAAAATACTTTTTTAATCATGAAGGATTTTGAAAATTTCGCCAAACACTCCTTTAGTTATTTGACACAAACCCGAAAGTGACTCCACACTATAACATAAGTCGAGTTGTTCATTAGTCAAATTCACAAAACTTGACACGAATGACTCATTTAATAAATTATTAATTACATATTTTTGTGTTATTTACCATTAAGGAGTATATGGCATATTTGAATTATTTCGCTATATAAGAAAATATATAAAATAAATTTTGAGATTATTAAAAAAAAATTATTTATTATTTTAGAGTTAATCAAGTACATGAAAAAAATTATCTCACTTTTTGAAATTGGAAAAAAATAATAGAAATTATAATTAAATTTTTTTTGTAAATAATTTCATCAAATACAAACTTGTTTCATATAGAGGTGGGCATCTGGTAGCCAACCTAACAATCTGTATTTATAAGAATTTAAAATCTGGGTAGTCCAAATTTTTAGGTCTATTTAATAAATGTTTGGAAATAATTATTGAGCCCAACTACACTCAATTGTTAATATATTTGAGGTTAATTATGGGCCAATCCTATGGACTGAGTTTATTTACTAATAAGTCTTATTCCAATTTTTAATGATAAATTTTTCATTATAAAAATATATTTAAAAAAAAACAATTTAACTACTTATATTTTTCATATTATATTTCAATACAAACTAACACACATAAACTATAATAAATCAAAACTCTCAAATAAAAGTCAAAATGTCTCAATTATTTATCACTTTGATAGATTTCTCAGTATCATTACTAGTACTAAATATCATTCCACAACACAAAACATGCATACAAAAATTTTAAAATTTGCTCATCATCAAAATGACGGCTAAATACATAAACAAATTTCATTCAAGACTTATAAGTAAATAAACCAATTTATACTTGTTGGTAATTATCCTTAAATTTTATATAATTTAGAACAAATCACATTGATAGTCCCTGTATTTTACTTCTTGTGTCATTTTGGTCCCTGTGATTTTAATTAGCATGATTTTGACTCTTAATTTTAGATTTTGTGTCAATATAGTCTAATTGATAACGTCAATTAAGGTTTTTTTTATTTATTTTTTATTTTTTTTATAAAATGGTCACCGAGTTAGTTGAGATTAATCCACTAAATTTAATAAAGTTTGTAATTTTGCCTATAAAAACATGACAAATGCCATTTATGTGCACATTTTTTATAAAAAAATATTAACAATTATAATCACGTGGATTAAATTGAAATAAAATCATAAATTAAATATCAAAATTGAGCCAATTAAAATTATAAATATCAAAATGATGTAAAAGCTAACGTATAAGGATCACTAGTATAATTTGTCCTATAATTTATATAAATGTATATATATCCTTTATTTAGTTTTATTTTGTTCAAAATAAAAATATACAGACACCAAACTTTGATATTGATTTTTTATTTAATATGTGAGTTTAGTGGGCGGACTTGAAATTATAAAATAACAATATAAGCCCATGTGGGGCATGAAAACTTTGTTTTGGGCCGGCCCAATCAATGCACACATTGGTTTTATGAAAATTGAACTCTTGGAAAAATAAATTTTAATTCCATAGACTTGATGTTATAAATTTTTTTGATATTATATATTAACATAATACAAATTAAGTATGAATTTAAAATCACACAACACGAATTAAAAATAAAATGACATATAACGCAAATAAATTAATAGTTAGGTCTCGTTTGGAAACATGTTAATTTAGTAACTTTTTAGATATTTAGATAAAAAAATGAGCTAAAAAAAACTAGTATGTTTGGGATGACTTTTTGACTTTTTACGAAAAGATGTGCAAAAAGTAGAGAGAAAAGAGAATCTTTGACTTTTGGTATGGATTGTTGGCTTTTTGACTAATTTAATAACTTTTTGACTAAAAAGGAAGATTCCCAAATGAGACCTTAGTGTTTATATGATTTTATGACTAATCTATAATCACACAACACGACAAAGCCCGAGTTCCTAGCTAGGGGTTCAAGTTTAAACCCCAAGCTGTCACCCCTAGGCATGTGCAGTTTTGAACATTTATAGGTTGTTTGAGATGTCTTAAATAAGTATATTTTTTAATTTTTTGGACTAAAAATTTGAGGAAAAAAAATAATTGTTTGGGTTAATTTTTTGACTTTTACTAAAAAATGTGTATTAAAAAATTATATAAATTAGTGTATAGAAGAAGTTAAGGAGAGTAGGCAATACGGTCTATACCGTCTGGGCAGAGTGATTTGATATAAAAAATGGTTGCCTCTTTTTCGGACATTGCATTGGATTTGACAGTGCTGTTTGGCCCATAGGGCCCCACCATGGGTCCCGTTTTGCTAATCAGAATCGTTTAATGTGTAGAACTTGTCGAGTACTATACGCTTGTAAAAAATCACTTTGATCAAATATCGATAGCTATCTGATCGGATTAGTTTTTTTTTTCAACCGTTAACTATAACACCATCCATTTTTTTTTATACAAAACTGATTTGATCATGTAGTTAGCGATATCTGATTAACGTGATTTTTTATAACGTATAGTAATCGACGAGTTCGACATATTGATGGTTCAAATTATCAAAACGAGACTCGTGATGAGCCCCCACGGGCCAAACCACACCGTGTTGTTTGTGCACCCTGCCTGTAACAATCAGGCTGAGGCCTCAGTTTTTATCACAGAGATAGATATACCAGTTAGTCAGTCGGAATAACAGAACATGGCAGGAATGGAGGAAATGATGCGTCAACTCCAAGAGAGCATGAAAACCATGCAGCAGGATGCTGCTCGTCAAGCAGAATTTGCCAAACAGCAGGCTGAGATCATGGCTCAACAGCAGACTTAATTGCCCAGCTGCAGCAGCAAACAGGAGCATCTGCTTCACATCAGGCTCCTCCCCCACCCAGAGTTACAACACTCGGGGAGACAGCTAATGTCCAGGAAGATACAGACATTCTGACAGGGCCGGCTCCGCCCCCGATTCTACCTCAACTATCCAAGGCACCCACTCCTATCAATCAACCGAATTCTCTCTTTGAGTTCGAGGTGGATCCCACGGCGTTGAAAGTGAGCAAGCTTGAA